ATGTGTTCATTTATAGATGTGAATAGTACGTGGGAGTTGATGTCTAGGTTTTGTTGTGTATTTGTTCATTTATGGATGTGAATAGGTTTTGTTGTGTATGTGTTCATTTATGGATGTGAATAGGTTTTGTTGTGTATGTGTTCTTTTATGAATGTGAGTAGTACGTGGGAGTTGATGTATAGGTTTTGTTGAGTATGTGTTCTTTGATAGATGTGAATAGCACGTGGTAGTTGATGTATAGGTAATGCATGTCGCACAGTGATAGATATGGGCAATCTAACCACTATACTTGCGGTGCAGCGACTAGAGCTAGACAATCCGTTGGCTATGGATATGGTATTTATATACGAGAGAATCATAATCACGCTTGCACTGGCCTTTCGTGAGTGCCGCGAACAAAGAGGTCTTCACTGTGAGGGTTGAGTATCCAACAACTACTGGCTCGATGCGTTGTAAAGGATGTAATGCACACATTTTTGTATGTACGCATGCACGTGTAAATAAAAAGCATGAACGTATGTACATCTGTGAATCACTTCAGCTTATAAACATATATTGCACCTGCTTCGTCCCTAGGTATGTGCCGCCAACAAAGAGCTGTTCGACGGGGGTGTGGATGCGCTCATAGTCTCCAACAACTACTGGTTAGACGACGAGCGCCCGTGTCTTACCTACGGCATGCGAGGCAACATTAACATAGAGGTGACTGTGGACGGCCCAGGACACGACCTGCACTCGGGCATGGACGGTGGGGTTGTTGCTGAGCCTATGGTGGACCTGATGGCAGTTCTCAGTAGCTTGGTGTGTTTATGTATCATGTATATTGTATTATTGGTTGGAATATTTAAGAAGGCTTCGACATGTGTACATATAGAATATCCATGAGTGTTATATGGTTTTGTTGTGTGTCTACCTGGAGTATTTAGAGAGTGTGTAGTTGCGCTTATGACGGATCTGATGGCCGTACTCAGTAGCTTGATGTGACTATATACCAAACAATGCTATAAATTATTTGCGAAGGTATCTGGGTCATATTTATACTATGAACGTATGAGTATCTGGGTCATATGTATACTATGAACGTATGAGTATCTGGGTCATATTTATACTATGAACGTATGAGTATCTGGGTCATATTTATACTATGAATGTATGAGTATCCGGGTCATATTTATACTATGAACGTATGAGTATCTGGGTCATATGTATACTGTGAACGTATGAGTATCTGGGTAATATTTATACTATGAACGTATGAGTATCTGGGTCATATGTATACTATGAACGTAT